CTGAGCCTCCACATGGAAATGTATGGACTGCAGTGATGTCTCAGCAGCTAAGACCACTGGCTGCTCTTCCTGAGTACCCAGGATCAATTCCTAGCACCCATATGGCAATTCACTACTATTTGTAACTCCAGTTCCAGGGGACCCAATGCCCTCTTCAGGCTTCTGTGGGCATCATATGCACAAGGTGAAAGACTACATACAGACAGAACACCCATGCACATAAAAAATATGTAATTAATACTAAAGCCTTCACATGAGATTGCAGGCTGACAACATCTTAACTTCAGGCCATTGAGTCCTGTGTTAGACTTCTGTGTTGCAGAATTACAAAATGATGATTTTTTTTTTCAGTTCAAGCCACATTCTGTGGTAAATTGTTACAGAAGAAATAGCCACTTAGACTGAGAACTTAAATACACTGTGCTCCAGCATTCTCTGAGACAATGAGCTTATTAATTTTCTGGTGGGTCTCACAAGTTTATGCATCAATGTGCCAGGTTCACTGACTATAAGGCAGATGAAGGAAGTGTGTGTGTGTGTGTGTGTGTGTGTGTGTGTGTGTGTGTGTGATGCAGGCAGCTGGTAGACTCTCAGATGAGGTTTGTGTTGGAGGAGGGCTGTAATAACCTTCAGGGCTTCAGAACAGACAGCAGTGATGGTGAGAGTGAAATCTATCCTAGATCCAATGCCAGTAAACTTATTAGGAGCTCCAGGTGCTCAAGAGACCAGCAGTTTGGAAGACTGCCCTGGTTTATGCTGGTACCAGGCCAAGTGGTTCTTCTGGGTAGATCTTCAAAACAGATTCTGAATGGACTTACAGTTGATGGAAACTCTATATCCTCCTGACACAGCCATAGAGCATGGAGACAAGGTCATCATGATATCACCACAGGCATGTTCAATTGAGAAGAGATGAATGTCATACATACACATATAGAGATTTCATGAAACAACCATTGATATTTAAAATGTTCCTGCTCTCCTATAAATAAAGCAAACTATGAATCTACTCAAACTTGAGAGCCTAAAATTTCTAGCATCTTGCACTCTATCTCATCACATAATTCACTGTTTCCATTGAATACCTGAATCTTATGTTGTTGGAAGGTTGTGAAAATGTCTTCAGCACTGTCTGTGCTCTGGCTACAATAACCCTACAATTGCAATAATCATACACATATCCTGAGAGTAACCAATAGTCCACTGACCAAACTCAAAGCCTATTCAACAAGAAAAACATCATGGCTGGTACTATCCAACATATTCAACTACCTGTGGCTGGTGAATTCCCAGGTACTGGAGGAGAACCTGCAACTATCACTTTACTAAGGCAGCATAATCACTAACTACATTATTATTGTTCTTATAACCAAAGGACAGCACAATTCGCACTCCTCATCAGGGAAATTACTCTTTGAAACATATAAAGAGTAGTACAGAAAACCACAACTGATCAAAATACAGATATGAGGAGTTTAGTGACAACTGATACTCCTAAAACACAACTCTTACACCTAAGGCCTAGGGATCATTTAGAAAGAGGAGTTGAAAAGATTGTATGAGTCAGAAAAACAGCAAGTTTTCTGTGAGGTTGTGTCTGCTATGAATGTCAGAAGCTACACACGTGAAGCCTCACCAACATGTCTGTTAAACATGAACTGAACAAGAATGACATCAATAGACACTAATGTGAAAAGGAGAGAGCTCAGGAGGCATCAACCCTAACATAGAACTACAGGTAATTATGGAATGCTGAGATTAGGAGAAATAGCCTTCCTCAGGGAAGAGTACACTAACTGACTATCGAGTATCAAATGGCTAACCCTGAAAATGTATGCATACAAGTAATATTATATGGATGTATTGGGCTAGATTTATATATTATGTTTAGAAATATATTTATATGTGTATACAAATGAGTACATATGTAACAATTCAAAGAGATAATGAATTTTAAAGAGAACAAGAGAAGTATGTAGGAAGGCTTGGAGAAAATTGGAGATATTCGTAAGGAATGTCTCTGATGCTGGTTTGGGAATAAAGGGGACCCCATTTAGGTTTTCTCAGTCTAAACATGAGAGGACCTTCTCTAGCCACTCCAGGAGTTCTTAGGCACAGGCGTGGGGACAAATGAGCTGCTGCAACAATAGAAATTCATTAGTTGGTTTTAAAAAAAAGAATCGGTGTTACAAGAAAGTCATAGATCTATACATCTATCACATTCCCCCTGAGCTCACTGCCAGGGTGATACTTTTAACTTAAACTGAATCACACATGCCTCTGTCCTTTTTCTGCCACAGGAATTTTCCTACAAAGCATCCATAGTCAAATGAATGCTAGTCTACAAAAACACAAGTAGGAACTGATTAGA